CACATTTCTCAGAACAGATCCTCAATGTTATGTGACGCATAACTGTGTGGAGATACGGACAAGGATCTGAGCAAAGTCAGGTTCCAAGGATTCCTTTGACTATGTCATAGGTGAGTCCAGCATGGGAACACAGGCTAAATTAGTGACAAAAGCCATGCCCCTTCTCCACCCAGTGATTCTGATGAGCGCCCAGGTTGTGAAGGACTGTAATAGCTATTTGAGAAATTGATTACTTGGCAGAGCAGCATCCACAAGGAGGCATTTTGAAGTTATGTAAATGGCACTGACAAGCGATAACACTGTCCCGTTATGTATTACACAAAGGGAAAACAAATCGCCCGTGAACTTCATGGAGTGACTCACTTGGTGTCTAATTAGTCTGTGATTACAGGCTTGTAAATTGCCAGCTCGCTGGTAAACATTCACTCCATTTTAGCCAATTGTGGGAGAGGTTGGAGGTAGAGGTTATGTAGCCATGGTAATGTTTCTGTATCCTAAAGGACACCATTCTGGGGGGTATCCTAAAGGACACCGTTTTGGGGGAGAGGACCACAGTATATGAAGTTAGTCACTGAGATTGGCACTAAGTTGAATTCTCAAAGCCTTAGGCAAAATGCTCAAGCACGCCTTTAGGAAGAAAGCCATTACTTGGCATTTACAAAATGCAGCAGGTCTGAAAATGGAGCAAGACAATGCTTCCTGTAGTCAAAGTCCTTTTCAATACAAGAGATAGGATTAGGCAATAGAAAAGGGGTTGCCACAGATTCAAACATCTGTATATCCCCCAAAGGTGCATTATTAGAATGCTGAGCATCTTCCTTTTCCAATGTTGTGTTAAGAATATTTTCAAACATATAGAAAAGTTGAAGAAATTGGACAGTAAACACCCATTTTACCTATCACCTCCAGCAGGGGCCAGCAAACTTTTCCTATAAAGGATAGAGAGTCAGTATTTTAGGCCTATGGGCCAAGAGGCAGGATGGAGCAACTATCCTCACTGAAAGGCTAGTAATCTTTTTCTTACTTTATTTTATACTTATATTACTATTTATATTACTTTAAATAATGTTAAAACCATCCTTAGCTTGTGGGTCATATAAAAATAGGCAACAAGCTAGATTTGGCCCACGGGCCATAGTTTGCCAACCCTTGACCTAAAGTTCAACTGACGTTTTGCTCTTGTAGGGGAGGCAGGATTTTACCTCTACCCTTATAGGTGTTTTTGGCTGGGCCTGAGAATTAAATTGATGTAAGATAGATCCATAGGAGAAAAACATATGAATTTATTTAATATGTTTTATATGACATGGGACCCTTCATAAGGAAATGAAGACCTGAAGACGCAGGTAGAGTTGTGCACTTATATGCTGCATTGGACAAAGAGTAGTCAGCTATGAAAATGTGACAGGGTAAAGGGGCTTGGGCTCGTGTAGTGACAGAGAAGTGACTAGGAGGATAAGGGCTAGTCTAACAACGTTTGTTTGTACAGAATTCCTTTAGCCTCAACTTGCCATCCCTGATGATAAGAATGATACTCTCCTTCTCGTACAGGAAGGGCATCTTTCACACGTGAATTTCATCTCCTTCTTTTAAGAAACAAAATGAAGGTCAGAGCGATCTTCTTGCACCTGCTGTTTTTCGAGTGCCTGTAACTCAAAATAGTCAATCTGCCAGAGTGGCATACTTTGGGTGGCGTATTCTAAAGTCCTTCACTCTGTTTGCTCTGTCACATAGCTGGCCAGCTCTGCCTCTCGTTTTTCTGGGATATCTTTCAAGAGTCAAAAGGTAGCAGTTAAAATCATAGGTATATCAGGATACTTCAAAAAGTTTGTGGAAAAATGGAATTAAAGATAATACAAATCTTTCCATGAACTTTTGAAGACCCCTTGTATGTCTCTTCTCAACACAGCAAGAGGTAATGTGAACAGGACAAAACATCATGACTAAAATGAGACCTTAGATTCAGTCCTGTGATCTTTTAGTACTTTGGGAATTCTTAAGGTTTACTTGCATTGAATTTTTGAATGTTTCTGTTAATACAAAATTATATATTCATGTAAGTTTCTGTTAATATAATATAGGCAAATAGAAAACTAAGAGCCTGTCTTCCACGTGACTTTGTGAATCGAAACTTTAAAAATGCCTCTCANTAGGCAAAATGCTCAAGCACGCCTTTAGGAAGAAAGCCATTACTTGGCATTTACAAAATGCGGCAGGTCTGAAAATGGAGCAAGACAATGCTCCCTGTAGTCAAAGTCCTTTTCAATACAAGAGATAGGATTAGGCGAAAGAAAAGGGGTTGCCGTGGATTCAAACATCTGTATATCCCCCAAAGGTGCGTTATTAGAATGCTGAGCATCTTCTTCCTTTTCCAATGTTGTGTTAAGAATATTTTCAAACATATAGAAAAGTTGAAGAAATTGGACAGTAAACACCCATTTTACCTATCGCCTCCAGGAAGGGCCAGCAAACTTTTCCTNCTCTCTCTCTGAAGAGAGGATGTCCCTCCTGCAGTTGTCCCTCCATCCCATTATCATCATCATGTTCCTTCTATGGGATCGTTCCCCTCAGCATCCCAACGTGCTCTAATGTCGGTCGTTGTGAAAACAATAACAAAACAAGCCTCCTGTGACTGTACGGCCCCTGCAGCAATGAGACTTCCACAGAAATGGCCCCAAACCAATTATCATCTCATTTCTTCCTTTGCTTTCTCAATCATCATCTCCTTGTTCCCTAGATCAACTTTATACACAATGTCTCTGATGTGCATTTCTCCATGCCCAGTGCCTGTCGAGTCGCTGTGAGAAGGTGTCCGCTCACCCTCTTCCTCTTGCAGCTCACCCCAGTCAAAAGCATCATGCTCTGGGCGTCAGCTGGTGATGCTCAGTGTCCTGTCTTGGAGGGGTCCCTTTCACTGCATAATCAGATGAGTCAGGGTTCTGGTTTGCAAGCTGCAGCAACTGACTCTGGCTAGCATAAACCAAAAAGGATTGAGAAGGATTGTGGCAGCTTTGAGAATCTCTGGAGAACCAATTTGGCAGCTACACAGAACCGCCAACATCAGGCTGCAAACCTTGTCCAAGACAATGACAAAGACAGCAGCGGATACTTCCCACACCCTGATACTGGACCCCGGACCTGCCCCTCAAAGCACAACCAATGCACCTTCCAGCAAAGACCTGCCTGCTGCCACCACTGCTCCTTCAGAACAGCTTCTCTGCCACCCGTTCTCTTGGGCCCTCACTTCTAACTTAGAGACTTGGGAGACATCTGACTGGCACTGCTAAGTCATGCACCCTGCTCTAGCTGCAAGAGAGTCTGGAAAAGCAAGTAGCTAGCCTCTCTGCTTCTCAAATGAGAGGTGGAGCTGTGTTTCATCAGGTTGGAGAGAATGCTCAAGGAGAGATTAAGAAGGTACAGCAACAACTATCAGAGACCCCTGGGCAACCCAGAAACCAAGGCCCAGGGTGCTCTAAATGCATCTGCAGCTTTGTGACTCCAAAAGTCCAATTCTAGAATGAAAAGGAGACCTAATCTTGATGTGAAGGGAAATGTCACATGGCAGAGCTGTCCACAGTGTCCTGA